GTCCAGGCCAAACCGGAGAAGAAGCCAGGCACACCTCCACCGGCTCCGGCCCTGGCCCCGACCACACCGACCCCCCCCACCGCGCTCACCCAGCCCCCCCCCGGCTCTGGTGATCGTCACCCCCCCGCCGCCCCCTGCCATCAACATTCCCAGGTTCTACTACCCCCGGGGGCTCCCTGCCATGGGCCCGGCCCCCGGCCACGACGCCGCCATCGCTGCCATCGAGGCGGCCTACACTGAGTTCGAGGAGGAGAAGGCGGACATATATGAGATGGGCAAGATCGCAAAGGTCAGCAGTTCAACAGCAGACATTGCAATGTTCATAATAATCCCAGAAAATCCCAGAAACACTCTTTACTCCTGTTTTAATAATAATAATAAAGCTTTATTTATATAGCACTTTTCATACAACACATGCAGCTCAAAGTGCTTTACAAAAGGACACATCACAAGTTAAAAATAAAGAACAAGACATTCCCCTCAGATTATTTGTTAAGAACTTTAAAAGTTACATGCAGTAAAATATAACATTTTATCAGGTTAATAGACACAAGGAGGTAAAATGTATGATAATACAAATAAATAAAAATAAATAATGGTTTCTCTCTGACAGATAAGACACAAGACAACTGAGTCGATGCAACAATATAAAATATAAAACCCCATAAAACAAAGTGAACATATAGGTACAACAGAAATAAAAATAAAAAGATTATGACCTATAAAATAAATAATATAAAGGTAGGTAAATAATTAAGACTAAATGTTATAATCCTTATGAACCTGCTCTGAAGTATGAAGCATCAGAAATATGAAAAGATCAGCATCAATATTTCTTGGCAGTCATATGTAAGATTAACATCTTGCTACCAGACACATTTATTCCATGGAAGCATATTGTTCAGATATCACTGCCCACACATTGTCTGGTTGATGCAGTGATGTTTTTTTTAATGCTGCAACATATTTCTAAGCAGTGTGATCTTTGATTTTGGAAAGAAAACACTGCGTTTTGATGTTTTTTCAGAAATATGGAAAGATCAGCATCAATATTTCTTGTCTGTAATTCATGTTTTGATCTTCCGACGACACAGATTTATTCCATGGAGAAAATAAAAGTTTTTCAGATATCGCTGCCCACACATTGTCTGGTTGATGCAGCGCTGTTTTTTAATGCACGACTCTTTCCTAAGCAGTCTTATCACCAACTTAAAAAAACAAACTCTGTGGTTTGAACAACATGCGATTGTTTTTCGCGGTAAGTTAATGGTTGTATTGTCTTTTCTGTTCAGGCATGCGGGTGTCCACTCTACTGGAAGGGCCCCATGTTCTACACAGCAGGCGGTGAGAGGACGGGCTTCGTCTCTGTTCACTCCTTCATTGCAACCTGGAGGAAGTAAGAGAGACCTCAAGTTCATCAAGTCCTACAAATCCTAAGTCTTATCAGTCCATTTTAACTGTCCAAAACTGTCCTCTCCTGCAGGTTGTTGCACAGTTGCCACGACGATGCGTCAAAGTTTATCTCGCTTCTAGCCAAACCCAGCTGTAACTACCTGGAGCAGGAGGACTTCATCCCTCTGATGCAGGTACAGTTTAATCAACATCAATCAATCAATCGTTGTTTCAGGTTGCAGAGGTGGGAAGTAGTGGAGTACAAATACTTCGTTACTGTACTTAAGTACATTGTTCTAGTATCAGTACTTTACTCCACGACTTTTTACTTTGACTTCTTAAATTTTTAACACAAATACCTGTAATTTCTACTTCTTACATTTTCCAAACAGGCTGGTTCCTTTAGTTTGAATGTGTGTTTGGTGGCGTGATCATTATTATTTAGAGTCATTGCGTGCCTATTGATTTGAACACGATCCGTGTATCCATCATTTCCTGGTCTTCTCTAAAGAAGAGGGACCAATGAAAACGTTGTCATGTTGCCGTTGTTCAGCATGGAAACATTCATTAGCTAACAATGACATTATTGTTCTATTAATATAAAGGGAGGTCAGGTACTCTTTAAAACAGCTGGTAGTTATGGGTACTTTTTACTGAAGTACATTTCAAAGCCCTCTTTACTTTTACTTGAGTAAAGAAGTTTAGTCAGTACTTCTAGTTTTACCAGAGTATTTTCAAACACGAGTATCTGTACTTCTACTTGAGTAAAGGATGTATGTACTTTTGCCATCTCTGTCAGGTTGTATCAATACTCTTCTCTCTTTACATGAAAGAACCACAAAACCACATTCATGCATTTGCAGAAATAAAGACGATGATATACAGTAAAAGACAAAGGATTGTATTTTGAGATTTGAAGAGCATTATTTTATAAGGATATATAAAAAGGAAATAAATGACATACTTAAAGTGGACCTATCATGCTATATTTGAATAATATAGTGTAGGACCATACCTATATAAGGCATATTTATATATATATTTTTTCAAAATACCAAACAGATCATGCATTTTAGCCATGCCTCATTTTGCTCAATTTGCACTTTTTTTAGCTCTGTTTTTGCAAGGGCAGATTCAGTGAGAACAGCACCATCTACTGGCCTGGCATATGTACTACAGCGTCTCCAGCACTTTCGAACGGCAATGGCCGTGGCTGTCTCCTCCTGATTGGTGGAGTTGGCCCAATAGCCGTAGCGCCACCGTCCTGACGTCAGGACAGTGTTCAAATCTGGATCAGTTTTTATCAGTTCAGTTGCAGACCCTTTTTTAGAGATTTGGGTATGGAGGAAAATAGAGAGGGTTGTGTTTTCTGACACTTGGTGAGTTCCCTGGAACACCGGGGACACATATTCATGTATAAAAGACGTACAAAAGTGCATTTTGCATGATAGGTCCCCTTTAAATAAAACGACAAAGATAAAAAGATATGGATATACTAAATACAAGACATATAAAGTAAACCTAAGAATTGTACACGCAAGACAGACATTACACTCTCTCCGTACTGTCTTCTGTATTTACCATCAAGTCGTATAAATGAAGTTCTGTTTCCTGTTTGTCTCATTAGGACATAGTGGACACGCATCCTGGACTCACCTTTCTGAAAGATGCGCCTGAATTCCATTCCCGCTACATAACAACGGTAAATGGCATGAAAACATCAGATACACTTTTGTTTCATTTGATTACTTTTGTGTATTTCAATCTGACAATAGGACTACTAACATCAACATTGTATCAGTCCGCTGTGTTGGGTATTATCGAGCAACATCTTCATTTTGATTATTCGTGTATTATTCATTTTAAATGGACAGTTTTTTGTTGTTGTTTTTTTTTTAAACATGTATTTATTGATTTTTTACATTTATCACATTACACACACACAACCGAACATTCCCCAACATTAGACATATGGCAGATTACAAAATAATGCTACAAAATAAATAAAATAAAAAAATAAAAAGTGTGCAGTTACTAGAAATCAGTTTAAAGTACAGACCAAGAATTAGCAAATTAACAAATTCAACAAAAAAATTGGCAGTTTTAATGTACTTCTAATTTATTATTTCCATTTAATTATACTTCTACTTCTGTCCTTTAAACTTTTAAAATATAACTTTTTAATCCATTCAACATGTGTGACCGCTTAAGTTACTAGCTGCTTTATAAATAACTTATTTTACAGATGTTTCATACTAAACATTCCATGAAGATATAAAATATGATGTATTGTACCGTCAAAAAAAAGATAAAACCACCGCTGCATCGAATCGAATCAAAACCATCAGTATCAAATATCTGTGACATCTCAGAATGTAGTGCTCCTATTGTGTGTGTGTGTGTGTGTGTGTGTGTGTGTGTGTGTGTGTGTGTGTGTGTGTGTGTGTGTGTGTGTGTGTGTGTGTGTGTGTGTGTGTGTGTGTGTGTGTGTGTGTGTGTGTGTGTGTGTGTGTGTGTGTGTGTGTGTGTGTGTGTGTGTGTGTGTGTGTGTGTGTGTGTGTGTGTGTGTGTGTGTGTGTGTGTGTGTGTGTGTGTGTGTGTGTGTGTGTGTGTGTGTGTGTGTGTGTGTGTGTGTGTGTGTGTGTGTGTGTGTGTGTGTGTGTGGGGGGATATCAGTACAGCAGCAAAACGTGCTTTAGTAGAGAAAGGTTTGCTGAGTATAAGTGCAGAGATGTGGCAGAAGAGTCACGGAAACACTGATGCGCCCCCCCCCCAAAAGGGCCCCCGACCCTCCACATGTCCATATTAAGACACTTCCTTCAGTTTAGACCAGCTGACTGGCTACTTCTCACAGAGGTGGGAAGTAGTGGAGTACAAATACTTTGTTACTGTACTTAAGTACATTTTTTCTGGTATCAGTACTTTACTCCACTACTTATTTTTCTGACGACTATTTTACTTTTACTTCTTACATTTTGAACACAAATACCTGTACTTTCTACTTCTTACATCAACACAAATACCTGTACTTTCTACTTCTTACATTTCCCAAACAGGCTGGTTCCTTTAGTTTGAATGTGTGTTTGGTGGCGTGATCATTATTATTTAGAGTCATTGCGTGCCTATTGATTTGAACACGATCCGTGTATCCATCATTTCCTGGTCTTCTCTAAAGAAGAGTGACCAATGAAAACGTTGTCATGTTGCCGTTGTTCAGCATGGAAACATTCATTAGCTAACAATGACATTATTGTTCTATTAATATAAAGGGAGGTCAGGTACTCTTTAAAACAGCTGCTAGTTATGGGTACTTTTTACTTAAGTACATTTCAAAGCCCATACTTCTTTACTTTTACTTGAGTAAAGAAGTTTAGTCAGTACTTCTACTTTTACCAGAGTATTTTAAAACACAAGTATCTGTACTTCTACTTGAGTAAAGGATGTGTGTGCTTTTGCCATCTCTGATGACACATTAGTAGCCCTGGGGGGCCAGTCCATGTCCCAGGAAATGGGTGTTAATCCGCTCTTTACTAAGCCGAAGTGTTGTGTTTCAGGACAGAGAGCACGGCCCCCCCTCGTTTCCATGGTATGCTAAAGACCTGTCTGACTCGTATTGTGAATGAGGACAAGAATATCAGTTGTAGATTGAATTGTGGGTAGGTCTTCCTCATGGAAAAATGAGGCCTACGGTTAAAACAGCCGGATGATGGGGCCTGGAAAGATCCCATGTGAGTTTCGAGCTATTTTCATAGAGTCTGTCCAGCCTGACAGCTCCGGGTCAGAGTCAGACCTTTCGTTCTCGATCCATTTTTAGACCCCCATTAGCCAAAACTAAAACACATCTCACAGTCTCTCCACTCTCAGCTATTCAAATATCTTAAGCTTTATATTTTTGACTGAAAATGTAAAACTGTTTTGGCGTGTGTTTTTATTTTCTCTTGATTTCAATTCTTATTTATTATGTATGAAGTGTTCATGTGCTTTAATCTTGTGTTTCATTACTGCTCAACTAACGTTTTTATTATCTTTGCTTTTTAATGCCATTTTATAATGTGTGTCCGCTGCACTATTTCTTAATGCTCTTAATGTCTTTCAGTTTTGTAAGGCACTTTGAATTACCTTGTTTTGAAAGGTGCTATATAAATAAACTTGCCTTTCCTTGCCTAACCTTTTAGGACAAAAGCAGTCATGGAAACAGTCGAGGCAAATATCTATGACTATATATAATGCTATATTTGGTACATGGTTTGATTTTGTGTCTTTTGGTGCTATTCTATCAAACTGATATCTTAATCCTCTGCTAATCATAGCCTCTTTTGACACTCTGTTATCCCAGGTGATCCAGCGGATATTCTACGTGGTGAACCGTTCGTGGACGGGTCGTATGACCATGATGGAGCTGCGCAGGAGTAACTTCCTGCAGACCTTGGCCCTGCTGGAGGAGGAGGACGACATCAACCAGATCACAGACTACTTCTCCTACGAACACTTCTACGTTATCTACTGCAAGTTCTGGGAGCTGGACACTGACCATGACCTCTACATCGACCCCAAAGACCTGGCCAGATACAATGAACACAGTAAGGACCACTCAAAGAGTCCCGACTGGAACACATCCAGACCATACACATCTACAAATGTTTAAACTATATCAAGAAAGAATCCAGGCCTTAAAATCAAAATAGATATGTATAGGATGTATAGATTATAAAGAGGCATATTTGTTATTTATGTTATGGCGATATAAAAACATTTTGGCCAGTAAATAATCGGAAAGAGACTGTTTTGGACATTCCCTTGCTTATCTTCCACTTGTTCAGCTCTTACTAGCTAATGTAAAAATTACAGCTCTTTGTCTCAGACTCAACGCTCTCTGATGTGAAATGCATTACACCGTTAACTACGTTAAATGACCACTTAGCCACATTTAAATTAACTTACTCAGTACTTAAGCAAATGGTTGAACTGTATGCTCTATGTTTAACAACAGTTTCCATTTGTTTCTGAGTCTTCTAACAAAATTACATTTGCTTACTTTTCTCATTCTCTCCTGTGACAGCATCCTCAAACAGAATCATTGAAAGATTGTTTTCGGGGGCAGTTACTCGGTAAGTGGAAACACAGTCATGAACAAACACAGTGGAGCTGATTACTTCACCATGATGGCAGTATTGAATGTGTCTCTGTTGTTTCCAGGGGTAACGCTGTGCAGAGGGAAGGCAGGATGAGCTACGCCGAGTTCGTCTGGTTCCTCATGTCGGAAGAAGACAAAAAAAATCCCACCAGGTGATTTACAATCGTTCGGTCCGGAGTGATTTAGCATCTGTCAGAGCATTTATTCTCCCCGCGTGTGTCTAATTCTAAACATTTAGAATCCCAGCCAGATGTCACTTTATTTGCAAATGCACTTTTCCACCTTTTTAGTTTTGTCTGTGACTGTGGTGTGTAATTCATTGTGCGTTTGTTGTTTCTCCCTCCAGTATAGAGTACTGGTACCGCTGCATGGATGTGGATGGCGATGGTGTTCTGTCCATGTTTGAGTTGGAGTATTTCTATGAGGAACAGTGTGAGAGGATGGAGAGGATGGGCATCGAACCGCTGCCCTTCCAGGATTTACTGTGCCAGATGCTCGACCTGGTCAAACCTGAGAGTTCAGGTTAGCGTCAACACTCTTTTTAAGAAAGTGGCATCTTGCTTCTCACCCTTGCTTTCCAAACTTCACACCTACTGCACGTCTGTTTGTGTATCTGTTGTTTTCTCCAGGTAAGATAACCCTTGGTGACTTGAAGCGCTGTCGGATGGCCCACATATTCTTCGACACCTTCTTCAACCTGGAGAAATACCTGGACCACGAACAAAGAGACCCATTTGCTGTGCAAAAGGTGAGCATTTGCATCTGTATGTGTCATATACAGCCAAATTGCAGGAGCTATCAATTTGAAGGGGAATACAGGATTTTGATTTCCTTCCTGCAAAAGAGAAAATAGTTTTTTTAATAATTTTGTATAATTATTTTAATATAATAGACTACTTTGACTGATTTACCCCCATTATATCTCCATTCATATCACTACTAGACAAATGGGCTACAGGGTTTTGATACATCCACATTCCCAGGTTTCATTTTGTATTGCTATAACGTAACTACTCTTTTTGTGCTTTTTCTTGTGTCTTATCATATCTTGTAAAATAAACTATGAACTCCTCTCTTTCCTGTAAAATACTGATAGCTGCTGTGTATGTGTTGTTTCAGGACATTGATAGTGAAGGTCCAGAGCCATCGGATTGGGATAAGTATGCCTCAGAGGAGTATGAGATCCTGGTGGCAGAGGAGAATGCAAACGAGCAGCTTCACGAAGGGTACGACACGCACGCACGCACGCACGCACGCACGCACGCACGCACACACACATACACACACATACATATACACATACACATACACATACACATACACATACACATACACATACACACACACATACCATGTATACATACTTCAGGGGACATTACATTGACTTACATGCATTTCCTGGAGACGTATCCTAACCTTAACCATAATCATAACCAACACATGCCTAACCCTAACCCTTACCCTAACCCTAACCAAGTCTTCACCCTAAAATGAATGATTCCCCTTATGGGGACCTCCATTTTGTCCCCATAAGGGAAGCCAGACCCCACATGTGACTGTGTAAACAGATGTAGGTCCCCACAAGGATAGTAATGCTAGGCCACACACACACACACACACACACACACACACACACACACACACACACACACACACACATAAAACTCACCTTTTCTATCTTGCCTTCCACTCCTAATCCACTAACCCCTCGCCCTTATTCCACCTAGCTTAGCACTTTTTCCTTTTGTTGTTATTTTGTTTTACTTGCTTGTAAGCGCTTTGACCACCAGGAATGGCGCTTTATAAATGTAATGTATTATTATTATACATGCCTATGTGCATCTCCAAGTATTGAAATACACAATACAATATTTTGATATTCTGGTATCTGAAGATGAGTTTGTTTGTCAGGACAGTTCAACTATAATTCAAATTAACCCGTTTTGCTATGTGTGTTGTGTTTTCAGGTCTTTTGATGATGACTATGAGTCAGAGGAGCTTCAAGTCTCAGGAGAGATTGGGAATAAAATGGAAAAACTGGTCATTTCAGACCTGTCAGCATAAAACTCTTCCCTGGATTCCTGGGTATTTTTCCTGGAAGAAAATGGATTGAAGGTCCCTTCAGAATGGAGCACCAAAAGATGCATGGACGTAAAGACAGAGAGAAACATCTGTCTCTCGATGACTCTGGAGCCTCCTCAGAGCGGACTCATCGTTTTTCGTGTGTTTGTGTGTGACCGTAAACCAGTACTGTTCTGTGTCTGGTGCAATATCACTTCTGTATTTATACAGAGAACTGTTTCACTGCCTCGTGCTCTTTGATCCGTCCGAGAGAACAAAGCGAAAGATGGTGGGGAGAAATGTACTATAAGCTCTTAAAGTAATCAAGACAAATAATCTCTGTGTACTTATAATGTAAATGTGAATTTTTATACAGACAATCCTGCCAAAAGACAATCATCTGAAGGTAGACAGACAGAGACCTAGAGTTACACAAACAGTGTCCTAGTTGGATGAATATGGAGACATAAATGGACAATTATAGTGATAGGAACTGAAAAAGAGCAGTCATCTGCTCAATAATGACACATCCAGACAGACCCTGCCATCAGAAACCCTTCAGGGAGGAATCATGTAACAGTATTGCTGATTGTAACAGCACCTCTCTGTGGCCAGTCTGTGTCACTGCAGGACATCACAGTCACTCGGTGCATAATGGCTGGCCAACTTTTCCAAGAGAGGGAGTTCAGTTTACTGCACAGCCTGAGCTGCTCTATTATTAGCACTATCAGCGCTCCACCTCTGGACTCCCTTTTGCAATTATTTTTAAACCCTAGAAAAAAAGTGTCTGACCACAGTCAGGCCACAGTGAGACATATGCACATAAAATGATGCGTGTTGACAAACATATCAAACTCTCTGGTAGAGTTTCCCACACATTTCCACCTGTAACATTTGCAATAATGCAATAGATACGCATAGGAAATGTGAGCTGTTCCTGTCAGTCTCATGCAATTATTCAGCACACAGTGTTTTTCTCCCTTCCTTGTTGATTATGTACAGTACCTGGTAATTGCTTTGATCTGTTTCTGAAATTGATGCCAACATTTGTATTTGTTCCGCTTAAACATCTCTTTGTCATGAAACGTTTGATAATGAAACTTTTTTTACACACCACTGCCTTTTTAAAGTGACACATCCCCCAAATAATGGCTATTCTCACACCTTAGGTATTATCTAGCCTGCAGATAGTTTTGGTTTGATTTGCAAAAGTGTTAGGAAGCTTTGCGATTTCACCTCAACCATATCACAGTGCAAATAAGGGGAATTTATTTATATTTATTTACTTCATTTTTCTAGGTCCAACAGCATAATTTTTAAATTGTTATTGTATTTGCAGAAATCTCAGAGGTGGATACATTACAATTCAATCAAATCAGAACTGTTCACATACATAGATATACTTAGTTAAATGTAGCTTTTTAATTTGAATAAAACGACCCTTTACCTCCAGCACTCCCAGAGACAGCTGCATGTGAACACTGCCCTTACTGTAATAGCTAGCAGTGTGCTCAGAAATCGTGATACAGGGGTGTGTTTTAGGAGCGTGTGATGTGTAGCTCTCAGTTTCGGGCTGATAATACGTCATAGTTGTTGCCATTGGATGTGGTTCCCAAGGTCAGAGTGTGTGTGCACGCTAGTATAACTCTTTAATTAGGAAAGGGACAGCTTTTGTCCCCAAATTCACTGCCATATACCTCCTTCACAGACATTTACTGTACACACACACACACACACACACACACACACACACACACACACACACACTTTAGTTGCTATAGTAAGGGAGATCGCTAGTGGATGCTGTAAGGCCTTAAGGACCTTAAGTTGACCCTATATGCTCTATTGCCATTGTAAATGTGCCTGACTGTGTATTAAATATATTATTATAATAATAACTAATGATAAGCCATTATAGATATAACGGCTGCGATTTGTTGTTGTATTTTGATGGTTTGTATTGCTGTGCCACTGTGTGGCTCGGGATAAGGGGGGTAAATTATGATGGATGTATGTATGTTTGTGTGTTCGATGCACGGTGGATATCATCAGAAGAAAATGAGGATCTGACAATCACAACATATGAGAAACATCTCATGTGGAGACCTCTGGGACTGATGCTTTTTCTCGCTGTGGCGACACACACACACTCACACACTCCCAGGGAGACCAGCTGATGGAGACAGTGTTTGAGAAGAACTGTTGAAGGCATTGGGACTCAGATTGTGTCCTGATGCAGCATCAAGCCGGGAGAAAAGCCATGCAAAACTTTTACTTTGAAATGAAATCTCTACTTTGATATGTAGACGGAAGACTTTTATTTTGATGTACTTCCTCTGTGCAGAGGAGACTTGAGTAGACGTGTTCAAATACTGATGATTATTGTATTGGCATGGCTTTCTTTCTTTCTCTTTTTCTTTCTTTCTTTCCTTTTGTTCTTTTTCCTTACCAACGCCCTTCTCTTATTTCCCTTTTCTTTGCCCTGCGCTTTCATTTGTTGCTTTTTTTGAAGTTTAAAAGTTTAAATAAAAATATGTTTCAAGAATAATAACTCTCCTTGAAGGTTTTTTTACGGTTGCCTACGTACAACCCCCTCCTCTCCCCTCAGACACACAAACAAGTCTCACACACACGTTCGTCATCCAGCCCTCCTTGTGTACACACACAGTAAGTACAGTAAGTGTGTTTGTCTGCACTGAGGCTCAGCAGAGTGTGCTTTACAGCCTTTTAAAGTGCTGAGGGTCTGGCGTTCTGACCTTCTACCTGAAGGCTGATTTATTTTGCATCCATACCAAGAACTTCAAACTAGAACATGATATCCTCTTTCAAAAACGTTTAAATTGATACTGGTAACACTTCAAGGTTGGTGAGGTTTTTAGAGTTTGTTTTTTGTCCTCAAGTACAAGGGATGATTTAATGCCAGCTCATTTAATCGAGGGTACTCGAGCCTCATGTCTTGGACTGCTACTGGCATACCTGACGTCAGCAGCTCTGTACTGAATCGCTTGCGTCACTGTTGTCATGACAAACATTGGACCAAAACAGGAAGTCCTGGATTTTCTTTGTCTCATAGATATTTGTGTAAATGTAATTTGGTACAATTAATTTGTGGGGCTTTTCAAGTGGACCCTTCTGGTACTACTAAGTGGGATGACTTCTTTACCAGTATCATCATCCTCATCCTTCCCCTCTTTAGTAGAATATCATCTGTGTCCTCAACTATAGCAACTATAATCAGGCAACTTTTAATGTCCCTACCAATCTATGTCGTAGATATTGAGATACTTGCAGGAGAACTTTAACATTTGACTTTCTGGAGGCAATACAGGAGATATAAGAGAATCAACAAAGTCATAATGATTCATCGGATACAAATCAGTACCACATTTCATGACAAAGTGTCCAATAGTTGTTCAGGTATTTACTGACATTTTCATCCTTAAAGCCATGACACTAACATGGCTGAAGGCTAGGCCTCTACATCAAGACATGTTTAGTCTTTAACTTTATCCTCATACTATACTATTATTCTCAAAGTCAAATTAAGTTCATATTTGAAGTTTGTGTCTCTGTGACGTGTGTCCATGCTTTAATGTTCAAAAAGCTCTTTATTTGTGTCATACTGCCTTTTCACCCTCTGTCTGAAACCAGAGCCCAGTCTGCTCTGATTGGTTAGCTGGCCGGCTCTGTTGTGATTGGTCAACCGCTTAGAGATGTCCTGCCTTTTAGCACATTATGTACGATGTGATGCAAGTAGCTCTTGGCCATTTTAATTTGTTCATAGTAGCTCTCAGATGAAGAAAGGTTGGAGACCCCTGCTCTAACGGACCGTCCACACAGCAGCGTTAAAAAATCTTGAAACGCTTCTGCCCATTCACTTTGAATGGGGTGACGTCACTTTGCCTCACTTTTCGCCGAACTGCATTGTGGGCAGGCGTGCGGAGATTTTCAGGATTTTCAGGATTCAAAGTTGAGCAATGTTCAACTTTTGAAGCTGAGGTGGAAGCGTCAGCCAATCAAATCCCGTGTATGCAAATCTGACAGTTCAAGCGCTAGCCAATCAAACGGCGTGTATGCTGGGAGAGACATACCACAGGTCATTTCCTCATATTCCAAAAAATGGAGGAGAAATTAGCGGTAGGGAATCACCCGGTGCTTTATGACCAGACCTACCGGGATATAAACCGGAGGAGCCAGGCATGGAGGGAGGTGGCAGAGACAGTGGTATGTTTTCGCCTGTTTGGGGAGTTTATATCCAGTTTACTTCAAACTGTTTTGCTTCGTATGTCGGGGGCGGGAGATTCATGTGATTGGTTGTTGGTGCCTTGCTCGCAAAAAATCCCCAAGCTTCAGATACGCCCACCTCCAAGATTTCTTTAACGCTGCTGTGTGGACGGGCCGTATGTGTTGATGTCACGCACTCTAGCCATGAACAGTCCGTCCCATAGACAACCATTATAACATCTAAAACGGGCTGAAAATGTACCAAAACTTAAACTGTGATATGTCAAAAACTCTAAAAGATATCAGAAATCTGAATACAAGTTTAATAGCTGAACGTCTTGTGACCGTTTTGAAGTTGGAATGAAGTCTCTAGCTGAAAGTACGTGGAAGGAGTAGCATTTTGCACACGGTGGAGTGAAAAGAGGATTTTAAGAGTGTTGGAGTGCTAGCCAATAGAAGCGCGAGTCTTATATAGTGGTGTCACTATGTTACGAAAGTAAACAAAGGAGTCCAATCGAGGCGTTTCAGGCAAGAGGGGAGTGTGTGTCTGTGGGAGAGAAACTCCCTCTGGAGGGAACACAGGGATTTTATCCTTTGAAGACCATTTATATGCAAAGAAAATAACACATTACAGGAAAGTTAAAACCCTTACTTTTTTCTTGAGGTTTTCACTTATTGCAAATCAAGGTTGATGGTAGGCATGAGTTTCTGCTGGGGGTTTATTGTTCTTCTGAATACAATAATTGTTCAGGGAATGGTGTAATAGTTGGCATGCCAACATGTTGTGATTTCTTCTTGAGCAATTCGCCTCCCACTGAAGGTCAGAGTTGACTGGGCATTGTTTGAAATGGCACTCTGCTTGTTTTTTCCCCAAATGTCAGGAACAAAGCCATTAGCCAACCAGAGCAGACCAGCTCTTTGAGTCATGGACATTCCTCCGTCATGATTGCCAAAACCCACCACCCCGGTCGTGTGATGTCACCCCCTGTGATGTCATAACAGGAAGTTCTTCTGTAAGTCAAAACACATGACATGTTTAGCAGAGCTGGAACAAACACAGATTTCCCCTGAACGTGAAGCTTTAGATAAAGCTGAGTGGAAAATCCCCCAAAAGAGCGAGGACACAACTGGAACCAATTCATCTTATTAAAGAGAGGAAGGCGACGGCAGAGAGATGTGTCTGGGCACTGGAGGGTCTTGAATCAGGCCGAGAGACGTGCCTGTTCCACACACACCATCGATACCAGAAACATGAGCTTCGGATAAAGCTCCTTGGGAAAGACCTGGAAAGAGAGGAAGCAACTGGAACCAATCTTATCCTCATCTTCATCTTATCAAAGAAAGACAGAGAGATGAGCTTGGAAACAGAAGGAGTTTGGATTGGGTGTCCCTGTTGTCAGAGACATACTACAAATCTCAACTGGCATACCTCATATGATAGGATGAATCCAACTTACCAGGAGGTTGACATTTTGGTTCAAATGTTGGCTCACTTCACTATTGAACTACTACACTTAAATCTACCTCCGAAGACATTATGATAATTCTAATTAACAATCAAATGCTTAGCTTTGTATGTAATGTATACAATTTCTACTGGCCTCGGCGGTCCTTTGTATTTAGCCTTCACTAAGATGTATAAGTATGGTCAACGTTACATCAAGCTAACAGCATTATTGCAGGTTTATAGAGATGCTATCACGGCTATAGATAGTTATTATGTCTTACATGTTGCCAGCCACAGTGTCTTTTTTTAAATGCTAGCTACAGATGGCAAAATGATTACACATGTGGCTTGATTAAGAATAAGATTGCACACATTTAATGATCAAGAGTTTTTTATTTTTTTATATTTAACATACGATATTAAGGTGAGACCTGAACGGAAATGCTGAAAGGCAAATAAAAGAATTCCACGCAGAAATAAAGAAACATTTCCATGTTCATCCTAACATTATAGTTTGTTTCAGTTTATCACATGAAAATGATTTGCTGTTCCTGATCATTTTTAATATATTCATAATTTAAAGGTGAATACAATATGATAACATGCAACATAATGTTAAGCAAAGAAAATAATGATTCATCATTTTTATATGAGTTGATCAGAGACTTATATGAGTTATGATTATATGAGCTGATCAGAGTTCAGTGATAACAATCTAATTTAAATCACATCACATTTTTTTCTGTACACACACATATTTCAATGACGTGCACCATTCAGGACGTGCAAATGTAACAACACTCACTATAGATATAGATGTTGCTGGTTTGATGTCTGATGGTCCAGACAGCTGCATTGCAGAATTCGGAGAAAAGGGAGAACGAAGGGTTGATGGGTAGAGAGAGGTTGACAAAGAGACCCAAAGAGAGAGAGAGGGCGGCATGTCTGCTCCTGTTGGTCTGGAGAGAGCTTTGGGATTGACTCCTTTGAACTCACGATGAGCCAAATTCCATCCTTACATCTATGGGAGGAAGTACCTTACACGCACAAACATGCACACACAACCACAACCACACACACACACACACACACACACACACACACACACACACACACACACACACACACACACACACACACACACACAACACGCTTGCATGTTCCTTCGTAGCCTTTTCTGCTGCCAGAGGCCCATTATCAGCCTGTCACCTGGTTGTCTCAGTCTAGTGTTTTTATCTAACATATGCACACACATACTCATGTAGACACAACATATACAGCATACATAAACACACACACACACACACACACACACACACACACACACACACACACACCACACACACACACACACACACACACACACACACACACACACACATTATGCATGTAAGGACAGGAGCAGAAGCGTAATTAACATTTAGAGAACCACATAGGAAGAATTGGCTGCAATCCAACAATTTCTATACTCGCTTCCTCAACTTGGCTTTCCCTGCGCTATATGAATATACAGTACGCATTATCATATGGCTGGACACATTCCACTCACTTCAAAGACCTCTGGTGAGCTGAGTGTGCATGATTACAGGGCTTGCTTTAAAGAGCCTCAGAGAGAGAAAAATCTGAGAGGGAGAAATGGAGAGAAAGAAGGAGGGAGAGAGAAAGCAGCTGGGTTGGTGGTAAACATCTGGAGGTTTTGGAGAGCTGGCCCTGGGGAAATATCTGCTCCAAGATCTGCTCCCTCCAGTCTTTCCTCGTCCAATCTCCTCCATCGATCTGATCTAATGTGACGGTCTGTCTGTAAAGGTCCAATACGTCACTCAGGGTGGCTTTGTTTACACGTTTATTTCAATCAATACGTTTTGGTTTATACTCACACACTGCCGGTACACAACTCCCAAATGTTTCCACATAACAAAATTGTAGGAACGCTTTGCTGATATTGAGTTTACAGCCCTCGTTGCACAACAATTCACTTCTCACTTGTTTAAAAGTTTCTAAGCCCTACCCTAACTCATCTGCTTCTTTTTATCCTTGGGAATATTATGGATTTAGTAGAGGAGATCAATAAGGGATAACATGGATTTACCTCATTAGTGTATTGGATACAATAATATAAATATTATTTGAATGTGTAATCCAACGGGCATCCTTCTGGGACCCCACAATTGTCCTCTGTTAGGTACATGACACTGAGTCTTTTATTTCAAACACCATACATGCTATTCATTCGAGTCTTATGTTCAATGTAAAGCACATCTTGGGCTTTTTAGTGATGTGATAACATGGGAGTGCGGAGAGAACAGAGCAATATTCTGTGGTTTTAAGTAGCGGGAATTCAAGCAAACAAGTTTTATGGCAGTACATATTTGAAGATATATGTTTTTATTCTTTATAGGATTGTTCTATTATATTTAGGAATTCATGTCATTTTGTCAATGCTTCTTCTCGTTTTCAACCACTTACCATCCCCTCGGTAAAACCACACTGAGTGAGGCAAGAATTATGTTATATTTAATGAATATGTTTTATATAGATCTTCAGTGAATATTAATCAGCTGGTACAGATTTTGCTCAAATCACATCAATTTGTAAATTCTCATTTCCATCAGTGTTATCAGGTACCTAGATTTAGATTATTTGTAAATGTGTTAAACATGGTATAAGATTATATATTTGGTTTGTTAAGGTAAATTGCCTTTTCATATTGAGTATACCTGTTGGATGAATTGATGGACACTGTATGTTGATTGACAACGTTTTCAATTCATTGATAGATTTGAAATATTTCTACAAAAATGTGATCCCAATATCCACATTTATGACATTTGGAATCAACCCATGTCTGGTTTATCATTCACTGTTTCTGCAGTTAGGGGGCTCCACCACCTGTCTGTCTGTCTGTACACACTGTTTATAACCTGGGCTGGTGTGTGTGAGAAGGATTTTTCTGCCTGCCACATCAATTGCCCCCTGAGGATGATTAGTGTTTATTGAATAGAACTGAATTCCTTACAGGCACAATGTCCTGCTCCAGGGCCATTTTTTTCTGGCTTAAAAATTACGTTTTCTTAGTGCAGTTGCTGGAATGTCTGTGTGTGTGTGTGTGTGTGTGTGTGTGTGTGTGTGTGTGTGTGGTGTGTGTGTGTGTGTGTGTGTGTTGTGTGTGTGTGTGTGTGTGTGTGTGTGTGCGTGTGTGTGTGTGCCAACTAAAATAAATCTAGAACCAAGGGGCATTGAGTTTATTTGGCTGTGTCTGCTTGTTTTAAAATACAGAAGGAAAGAGGCTGATTATCCTTGGAGAAAAACACGTACATAACAGAAAAAAAAACCCTCTGTTGATTCAACAGCTTGTTCTTTATGTAGCTTGTTGTTATCTGAAGAATTACTTTCATTGATCAGTCTGGGAAACAAATTGGAGAAATTCAGTTTGATGAGGCTGCTATTGTGTGGTGCATGATCGTCTGCTGAACTGAATTTACCTTTCCATAGTCATCAGTCAAAATGGTGTACTCAATTTGTTTCTGACGTGAAACATATACTTGATGTTGAATATTCTAAATTATATAGCATCTGTTCTGTCATTTCAATCCCACCCAGTTTTGAAATGCATGATAACTTATTTAGGGATGGTCCTTCCATCAAGTGGTATTATGTGGTTTTGTAATTCAAACCATGCATTTTGCACAAAAGCAATTGGCAGGTTTACGCCGTTGGTCCTGACATGAACTTGTAGACGTTAATGTCTTAATTCATTCAGGCACCAACACGCTGAGATAAACCGTCTCCACAGATACAGTATAAACACTCTATGTATATATGTATGCGTGCTGTACTGCATTCAGTTAAACAAAGCAGAATAATTATCTTATAGCTTACCCTGCATAGTAGACATGAAGCCTTCTGGTCCTTTTTTTAACACAGCGAAATTCATTGTGACTTAAGTACAATTCATAGCTAAAGAAAAATGAGTTAAATGGGTTAAGAGACACACCCATATATATTATATTACTTTATTCCCATAGTAAACTGCACTAAACTGTAGTCACGATGGCTTTATAACATCCTTCCATGCCATTTTACTCTAGTATATTTATGTCTGGTACACACATCTTTTTGCCCTTTCCATGTGCAATAAAATCAGCACAGATTTAACTGATTTGAACTTTTTGGTATAGATCAGGTCATGATGTCTCGTGTCAGTCGGACCTGTAACCCTTGGACCTGTCAGCTGGGATGTCAGGTTTCAGTGCAGCCACCAGAGGGACTTTGGCCCGTGGTTTAAGTTGTTTTGGAAGCACTTGGACAGAGATTTATGTTGTTGTTGTCATTAAATTAAAGTGACCAGTGTGAGCAAGGTGACACGGGTCGAGCAGTTCGTTCGTTTTCTGTTGCAGGTTTATTGTACAAAGATATTCTGGGTCATGATGAAAGATAAACGTAAACCAGACTAAACTGGAATCAGCTTGGTTTTATTTGCAGAAGAGTTCACCCACCTTTTGGGGCTGACATAGCAGAAATTCTTTAGGACACAACAACCTACTTACATGTTCAGCCTTGAAGATAAAATAAATGGTGGGGTGTCAAAACTGATGTTTTATACCTCCACCTGATCAGTGGCAACACATGATTAATGTAAAAACAAAAATTCTTATGGCACGGTGAATAGAAAAAACCCACAAAAAACAGTGATTTACATTTGAAACTCATACATTGTTCACATAAATACATAGCCTACCAGTCAAACTGCATCAGAAACACACAGAAAAAGTTTCGAAATAACAAAAAATATCCTTGTTTTTATTGCTTGTAGAATACCCACTTAACTTGAAAAGACGAGCGTGTGTATTTATTGTGCCACATAGGTAGTGAAGCAGCTCTGCTCTCTGTTGGGCTTTTTTCCCAATGCGCAGTGTATTACGGTAAAAGGAGGCGGGCTCTGACCTACATGTGCGTCGCGTTTTGATTGACATGGCGGAGTCTCCCAGTACCCGTTGCGCCGCGCCAGCAGACAGGCAAGACCCGACCCTGGGAATAAAAAAACACGCAGCCCGTCTGTTTGAAGATTATTTTATTGCAGCGAGGTGAGTTCTCTTTACACTTCTTTAACGGCACGACACCACCCCACAAAAAACGGTAATGGAGGTCGATGAAATCGTTGTTGAAAAAGTTTTAGAAGTGCGTGTGTGTGAGTGTGTGTGGAGTTTGGAGAGCTGAGCGCTGACGCCGGCAGTCTGGGCCACTTGGCCAGCGCAAAGGAAAAAGGAAAACTGATTCGCTGCTGGTGACGGGGGTGAATCGAAACTTTTGGGCACATTTTCCCGTTTATTTGGTAACAACAACTTAATAGCTTTCGGTGGGAATGATCGTGGTTAGTTCTTCACACTAGTCGAGTGAATGTGTGCGTTTGCAGTCTGCTCTTTGTGGTCCCGATTTCTCAGCTTTCACCAAAGAATGTGTTTTTGTCTCCGAGGACTTCAGATGGAGTAGTGCGCAACAGGAGAAAAGCTTCCCTCTTTTGCCTATTCCTGCAACAAAATGCACTTATTCATCTGGGACTTGCATTGTGGAAATTGTCTGTTGTGTTGAGGCTGCTGAAAATCAGGAAATGAACACTTTTATAGCTGGAAAATAAGTTGGAATGGAAGATGCTGAGGCAGTAAAATTTGACAGAGAGGGGGTTGCGAAATCATTGAATTGACACTATAGGGGCTTATTATGCATTAGATAACTGTTGGGGCA